TTAATTCCCAAAAAATTTTTCTTTTTTTTTTTTTTTTTTTTTTTTGGTGTATTTCTTTGTCGGTTTCCACTCCCTTTCATCAAAAGCATTCAAACTCCAATTTATCCTATAATGTTCGATATTTAACCAAGTTATGGAGTAATTTTATCAAGCTGACTTCCAAATTTCCACTCTCACCGTTTGAATAGGCATAGAAATGGAGTTTACTAATGAGGCTATTAAGCTCATGTTTGATGGCCCTTATTTTGAAAAAATGAAGTTTTGAATAGGAATTTTTTGAAGAATAAGTGATTAAAAAATAGGTAGAAATCTTAAATTTACGTAAAAATGTGTAGTTGAAAATGAGTTTGAAGATGAATGAATTTTGTTTTAAAGGAAGTTATACAGGTGCTAAGAGGTGGCTTTATTCATGTCTTGTACTTGTTAGAGTAGGATATGACTAAATGTTGATGAATTTGATTAAACTTATTGAGCCCTGTTTGGTGGAGATTAAAATCAATTTTTTAGTAAATTTTAATAGGAGTTAATGAAATGTGATTGAAAAATTGTGAAATCCATAAAATATGTAGTTGAAATCAATTATTGATTTTAACTTAAATTAAAATCGAAAATTTAATTTTTATCAAATGGGGGCTGAAATTGTACACTATTAAAAGGAAATAATTTTTTTTTATTAAGGTGAAGAATTATCGTTTTACACTATTATTATGTGGGAGCAATGAACCCAAACGGTCCAAAATCAGCCTACAAGGAAAGTGGGCTTTAAAATATTTTGTTGAGGAAATTACACGATTCCAGGTAATACAAATTCAGTCAAAATTTCAGGTGAAAAGTTTTTTTATGTAGAAAATCAGGTATTGATCTAACCACACACCCACCCTAAAAATCTCAACTAATTCAACATAACCTCTCAACCCCCACCCTCTCTCCCGCACAAGCAACCATCCTCGCTCACTCACTCTTACATTCACAACCCACGCAATCCAGCAATCCAATGGAGTCTATGGGCTGATCGTCGCGTGAAGCGGTGATGGTGTTGTCATAGCGCTCATCTTCTCTAAAGTGTCGTTGTGCACAATATGGCGGCGGAGTCGATGGGTGGACCGTCGTGCGCATCGTTGATGGTATTATCGCTGAGCAGCAATTCCTTCAGTCGATTGGCGAAGAAGTGACGAGAAATTCCTCAAGTTGATCGACGAAGCAGCGATGAGAAATTCCTCTAGTCGATCGACGAAGCAGCGACGAGTAAAAATTAGGTTTTTTTGGTCAGTGTGTAAGTTGTTGGTGGTTTTCTTTCTATGGATGGTTTTTGATCTGTGTGTGGATACTTTTCTCTGGGTGGTTGTTTGTGGACGGTGATGATTGTGGTTTGCAAATTGTGGTGGTGTTTGTAGTTGAGTGGTGGTGGTTGTGATGTTGTCTACGGTGGTGATGTTGGTGCTACTAGTGGAGTGGTGGCAATATTCGACAGTGGCATGCTAGTGTTGGTGGTTGACGACGATGGTGATGATGTTGTGTTAATGGTGGCGGCGGTGGCGGTGGCAATTGTGGGATGGAGATGAAAAATATTTATGACCAACTACATGATTGATTTGCGACCAAGTATTGAGATTGAAGGTGGGGTGAAATGTTTGGTATATGTGACCAAATATTTGATTATTTGTGACCAACTATTTAACTATAACATAAAAAATCGGTAATTCGTGACTGAAAAATAATTTGTGATGTGATCGTTAAATTTGTGATTTGTGACCTATAATATTTTTAATTTGTGATCAATTAATTTGATAATATGTAACCAAAAAATAAGTTCTGACCTATAAATATGTACTTGGGATCATTAGTTTTATTACCATGAAATTAATATATTTAATTATTTAGTTATCATTTGAGATTTGAAAATTTAAACTTAATCATCTGAGTTTTGAATTAATAAATACCTTACACCCCAAGATATGAAATTTCCCCTGTTTTGTTTTAACATTTTGAGCTTCTAAAGGTCCAAAAAACTTGCCTCAAAGGGGTTGGCGGGGCGCCCCATCGTGGGGAATGAGGCTTGCCCCGCCCCAAACCCGCCTTGTGAAGGGGGAAAAAAAGAAAAAAAGATTAAAAATAATTTTATTTCTAGACAATTCACTCGTTAAAAATTTATTTTGAATTTATATTTTATTCTCTAATAATGAGATAACTCAAAATTTTGAAAATATAAAAAATATTAAAATATAAAAAATTAAACCGGGCAAAAAGTTGTCCCGTCCTGTCTAAGGCAGGGCAAGGCGTGGGACGGGGTGGGGTAGGGGCCCCGAACCTGCCCATTGCCATCCCTACTTCATCAGCTGCATAAAATTGCATAAAGACCCTTGAAGAATTCCCGCGAAGAAACTTGGCGCCATTTTTGACTTGGCAACTCGCCATGTCATCTTTCCCGCCAAAACCCTAATACATATCGACATCTCTCCTAAGTTCCCCATTCCACCTCATTTTACTAGTTTACCTCTACTCTGTGTTTTGTGTGTGCAATGGATTAGATCTCTAGATGTGGATGTGATGAAGTCAAAGAAGGCGAAAAGATCACTAGTGCTATTGGATCAGAAAGCTTCGGATTCGGATCCAAATCCAATAAGTGTCAAAACCCTTGGGAAGCCTACTGATCCACCTCGGTAGCTACATAATCGATATGCAGCGAATAACCTTCGGGAGCAGGTTCCTGATCCGACTGCTCGATCGAACTCGCTTGTGAGTTCCACTGAATATTTGACCAACACCAAATCTAAGATTAATGAGTCCAGTTTTTATACAAATCTTCCTGAAATAAGTGTTTTTAAAAATTGCAAAAAAAAAAAATAATAAATAAATAAATAAATAAAATAAATTTAAGTATCTAGTTCATAAAATTACTCTCAAAAACTACTTTTTTTTTTTATCACCGAGATAAGTGTAATATTTACATCTAATAGCAAGTTCCTTTTCCCACTGGAAAGCTAACTTTGGACAATATAGGTCATTTTGTACCTATTTTTTTATTCTTTTTGAGACCCATGTATATATTTCGAGCTCAAAACATCAGGGGACACCATGTATTATTACTCAACACATCATGGAGTGAAAATTACAAAAAAGTCTCTCAAGACTTGGATGATTTTATAAATGAAGAATTCATCCACAAGAATGGAGAGATTCAAAATTAAGGGTTGCCAACATTTCTTCTAATTTATCTTGGTTATGTATTAATCAAACATATTGTATTTTCATGATCGAATCATGATATGCCAAACTTCTAGTTCCGTGGATCATTGATGAAATTTTGTTTGACATTTTAATCCAATGATTCCTCGTTATTTAGTTTTAAAATTTGTTGTGGTTAGTTGATTTTTCGTTATTGATATGATGTTATCTTATTATTTGGCTAGTCTAGGATTGTCTTAAGATTCGTGTCGAGACCTAGAAGTGAGACATGTTTTCAGCTCAAATAACACAACATTAGGTCCTATAAGGATGGAGATACACATTTATGCTTTGTGCAATCTTAATTGATATTCTAACTTTGTCTTGCATTTTGTCTATTCGTATATTTAATAGAGATATAGTTAGATCGTGGATAAATATTGAATTAGATTATCTCAAGAAAAAAAAAATCAGAATACAAGTAATATCGATTGTCAACATAAAACAAGAATTGATTAATATTGAGTAATTGATGGTTAAAATAACTTAACAATATGGAAGATTCAGGATCGTAGTTGCTTTTGTGGATTGGTCAAGTGTTCACAACTTCATTGCTTGTTAGAGTTAATATTCGATATAATCGATATCAACTCACATACTAAATCTGTTTTTTCGACTAAGGCTAGTATTGATTATGTTAATAAATAAATAATCAGTCTTCATGGGATCAATACTCTATTCTTCATTTTATTATCTATGATATCGTACATTTGCCGAAGTATACTGCAACACTAGCTCCGGCCAAGTCCTCAGCGTCCTCTGTCTAGAACGTGGTTGTCTTTAAAAGGGAAAACTTAAACCAATTACTCTAGTTCAAATCACCATTAAAGAGAAACCACCTGCATCCTCATTCTCAATTTTCTGAGGCGTCAGCCGGGGACTTAATATTTAACAAAATCGATCTGGCGGGCTGGTTGGGAATGGGTGATTAGCAAATAAAAGAATCACAGAGAGATAGATTCTGGTCGGGACGAATGAGTTGCAGGAAAATCACCCATGTATAATACAAATCAAATAGTTATAATAAACCATCCTATTAAATTAAAGGCAATAAGCACAAAGAATAGGCTAATTTAACAGAAGTAACAGCTTGATCAGTAAGGAAATGGAGAATTGTTTTCATAATCAGAGTACTCAGAATAATAATCAAGTTTAGAGTTGAATGCAGTATTACAAATACACAGCATTATTATGTACAAAGCAAACCATAAACTTCAATTTCATTATCCTTTTGCCTTGTAATCCCCAATGGCCAAACGGGAATTGAACTATAAACCACTAAAAGATTCAGCAATTGACAAATTCGTATCTCTTTTTCCTCGTTGGCCAGTTGGAATCTTAGTTTAATCAATCAAGAGCTGCTCCTCTTGCCTTCACTCCCAAAGGTCCCAATTGGCTTGGCAAGAATACGCTTCATTGCTATCACTCCAAGAGGGTTGTCCTTGCTCTGAACAGTTAGAAAGTTACATGTAAGTACTTGTTCATCGAATTTTCTACACGAATACTGCATAACCGAATAATAAACATATGAACATATTTGACATACCACTGAACAGGTGCCCGCCTTAATGTTGCAAACCGGATATTCATGGGGGCAGCAACTGTAATGGTCTTCACAGCAGGAGGCACCCTCAAGAGGACAGCATCCCCAAGACAAGCAGTAGTTATGGTATTCGTAGACACAGCAGCAGGTATCGCTCTCAGGACACGCATAGTATTCATCACAAACCGAGGGTGGTGTGACCGGAGATGGAGGAGATGGACCTGGATTAGGAGGATTTTGGCCCGTCTTTGTAGGGTAAGATGGCTCTATTGCAATACCACAGAGACCGGATTTTGCAGCTACGTTACGCTGCATTCTAAGGTATCCCTTCTCTCCCCAACTCGGACCCCATGAGTTCTTCACTATCCAATAATCAACACCCTTTTCGCTTCCGTATCCAACAGCAGCCACACCGTGGTCGAGGTCAACGCCGCACTTCCCCGAGAATATACCCTGTGGAGATTGGAAGAAATTAAACATTTCAGGTTGGTAGAGAAAAAACCAGAACTCGGGTGGAAAAGCCCTTTCAGCAATTATCTCCATCATTGAAAGTCATTTTTCATGACCATTAAGGTTAAACTAATGCAGGTATTCAGATTTCGACCTTAATAATGTACTAACAGGAACATCGTACTGAACTAGAATGAAATGGTATGTTAACATGATGGATGACATTAAACTGGACAAGTAAACTATAAGATAAAGTGGAAACATACTTAGTGTCATCCAAAAATCTCTAGAAATCCCAGTTTATGAAATTTTTGAAAGATCAATGTCGTTGTCATTTGATCTAATAGCGTTCCCGGTGGTTCAATGGCAAAAAGAAGGGGATTCATTAGCTCATTATTAAGTACGAATTTGTCCACGGCAGGTGAGTCATGGCCTAAGATCAGGCCAAAAGGTGTAGTTGATGACAACCGGTTTAGGCTGAGGAGTAAAAGGAGGAATCCGCCAAAGGGGGGCTTGCGTCTGATTAGCTAAAATTCAATCACATAAGCTCGTTTCACAAAGGAGAAATTTTTACCGATTCATATAATTGGAAGTCTATCCCACCACCTTCGACTGCAACGCTGACTGGTTGGTTTGCAACTGCCTTTTTCAATGCCTCCTCATTGTACGTGGGCACGTCTTCATAACCATCAATGGACACAACCTTAGCATTTTTCTGCATAACAAAAGAATGTCAAGTTTCCACCTACTTTTTCTTGAACTAATTCAATTTCTCTTTCTCGTGAAGTGTTAAATACAAACCCGGTATGGGTCGCATCTCCCATCCCTTCCTGTGTAGGGGTAATCTTCTTCAGTGTCAATGCCACCATTCTTGATTATGAACTCAAATGCATAGTCCATTAGACCACCATTGCATCCTTCATTGTAGGTTGTATCACAATCCACCAGCTCTTGCTCCGATAGTGAGATCATACTACCCGTCTCAATCTGGTTTATTCCCTCCACAGCAGCAATGGTTGAAAATGCCCAGCAACTCCCTACATTCCCAAAAAATATATATACATGTCATAATCATACATCTTGACCATATGATGAGTGTGTAGAAAGATAAATAAATCCATTATTTTAGTCCTAACTTCTACAGACTTATTATCACTTAAGACATATCAATACTTATTTCTTGATGGTTTTTCTTGTAGTGATGAGATTAGATTAGATAGTTTAATATGGGATAATTTTGGAGGTAGAAAATAGTTGGCTTTTTGTTGGAAGTTAATAGTATGGAAGATTTTGATAGAAAGTAATTTAGTAGACAAAGTGAATAGGAAAAATGAACTTTATTAGAATGATAATGCCTTAATTTTGGCTTGCTTTAGGTTATAATGGTTATTGCTTATATACAAATGAGATACTCATGCCCTATTTATAGATCATAGCTTACATCAATTTATGGCTAATATGATTTCTTCTAGATAATTTTACATGTGTTTAAAATACAAACCACACAAACTTTCTTGGTGTCCAAGTTTCTCTAGTAAATTCTAAATAATTCTGATTTTTTATTATTCTTATTTGCCAAGTAATTCTAGGATCCTCAAGAAAATTCCTAAAATATGTATCAACTATCAATACTCCTCCTTAATGCATATTTTGGTAATTTTCTAGAAGATAATAGAATTCCTTGGCAACAAATATGCATCAACCATCAATACTCCTCCTTGATGCATATTTTGGTAATTTTCTAGAAGATCCTAGAATTACTTGGCAAGAATATCCTAGAATTGCTTGGCAAGCAAGAATAATAAAAAATCAGAATTATCTAAAATTCACTAGAGAAATTTAGGCACCAAGAAAGTTTATGTAGTTTGTATTTTACGCATATGTAGAATTATCTAGAAGAAATCATATTAGCCACAAATTGATGTAAGCTATGGTTAAAATAGAGCATGAACCTCTCATTTGTACGTAAGCAAAAGTCATTGTAAGCCAAAGCAAGCCAAAACTAAGGCATTATTATTCTAATAAAGTTCATTTCTCCTACCCACTTTGTCCAAATTATTTTCTATCAAAATCTTCCATACTATTAACTTCCAACAAAAAGCCAACTATTTTCTGTCTCTAAAATTATTTCATACAAAAACTTATTAAACCATCTTATCTAATCTCATCACTACAAGAAAAATCATCATTTCTACGTAAAAAAATTGAAATTCTTTTAATTAAGAATTACAATTATTATGTGTTTTGGTACATTAAACTAGACAATATTAAGACGATATAATAATA